CCTCTTCCCTATGCAAGCACAAAGTCTGCCCCCTACCCTACCCCCACACACGCCGCCCTTGTCCACACCAGCCCTCACACCCCCGTCGCAGCCGGAAGAGCCGCATCGCAATTCGCCGTGTTCGTAACCCACGGTGGCCGTCTCGTCGTGCACTGAGGCAGCGGGGTGCCATCCAGCGCCATGGCGCTGTACCCCAGAATCCACGGCCCCTCCGAGAAGCCCGTCACCGGCACCTCGATCGCGGGCCGCAGCTGCGTGCACGTCCGCGTGCCGCTATTTCTCTTCCATTAGCAAGCAGCAACAAGACTCGGTAAACCAACCATGAACAAACGAACAAACAAACAAACAAGTAGATTGCAGTACAGTACGGTACAGTACAGTAGCTCGCTAGTGCCTCCTCTGTCTGTCTATCTGTCTGTCTTCGATGAGGGGAATAGGAACGGGAATGAGAAAGCCAGAGAAGGAAGAGGAAGGGGGAGAAGGGCAAAGGGAGAAAAAAAACGGACTTAGCTTCCACGACGCAGGAAACCTCATCCGCTAGCGTGGTCAGCGTCCCCTGGATAGCGACAGTGCTCGGCCCGCGCGAGCTCGTCGACGTCCCACCGCGGCAGCCCGTCAGGGCCGCGCAGAACTGGTTCTGGCTGACGGTCAGCCAGCTGTACCCGTCGGTGCTGACGCGCGCCAGGCCGTCGATGTCGCACGTCAGGGAGTGGACGCCGCGCGCGTCGACGGACTCGTAGTAGGAGTGCGCGCGGTTCGGGCAGATCAGGTTGACGCTGGAGGTGTAGGTCACGCGCAGCGAGACGCTGTTGTTGCGCATCTGGAAGTCTGTGATCGTGAATGCGGATGGCTGCGGGCAGGCGGGGAAGGGGTTGGTGGCTTGCACGGCTTGCTGGAGTGGGGTGCAGCCTAAGGTTCGAAAAACGTTGTGGGATTAATCATGTATAGATGTGAGGAGAGGAGAGGGGACGGAGGGTGAGAACGAACTGGGGAGCACAGATGCTGTGGTTGTTGCAACTGGAGTAGTAGTATCTTGGGGGAGACAGTAAACTGTTGAAGCCAGCATTGCGCTAGCTCCGATCGTCTGAATGAGGAACTTCATCGTGGGTGTTGTTGTTATTGTTGTTGTTGACGTTCGCTTGTGGATTGATTAAGCGAGTATAGCAGCCGATATGGTCATCATACTTCAAGCCGGCGGGCTAAGCTCAACTTTATACCAATTGAAGAAAGTAGAAATAGATATCTTGCCTTCCATCATTATTGCACTCGCGCGATATATATGCACGTAAGCAGATACGAGAATTGTCAGCCTCCGCAGGTTATGTGTGCATGACCTTTCCAGCAATATCGACCGTGCCGTCCCGTATTCGCACGCGGCACGACGCCTTCCATTTTGACCGACCGACCGACCGACCGACCGACTGACCAGATGATTGGAACAACAAGTTCGTAAAAACCCGTTCGAGCATCACAGTCGCCCCGTGAAGACCGGGATTCTTGGCAAGGGTTAACGGCGATTTCAGTCAGCATTCGTCAGATTTGCGGAGCAATCGTGATCTTTACAGCTCTTTGTTTGCTCGCTTGATTCGTGTTGACCTTCATCGGTTCGAAGATCAGCAGTGCAGTAAACATTTTTTTATTGATATCTTCGCCGTATTGATTGATGCACCTCTGATTTGAAAAGGCAAAATGATTCGAAGACTCGGGAGCTCTTTCTAAAGTGGGGCGGAAGCCCAAGTGAGAACTATTTTGAGAAGAATATCATGAGAAATAAATACACTGACATGGCACAGCAAGTTTCGAGACAATTCGTATATACATTGAAATCATGAGAGTAGGCTGTCTGTCCAGCAGACAATCAACACCTCTAAGCGAACTATTCACTTGCGAGAAGCGTGGCAGCTCGGGTAGGTGGGCGTCAAAGGAGGGTTCGCATTCTTCACCAGATCCATCGTATATTCGTTCCACCACATCCCCGCAGCCGGTCCCGTCTGCCCGTCCAGGGCTGGGCCACAAGCGCCATCACTTTCGCCCCCAGGCTTGGCCCAGACGATACTGTCAACCAAAGTGCTGTTGGTATCTGTGGTAGGTCTAATGCCAAACCCAGCTTTGGCATTGCACCAGTCGCCCCATGAAGTTCTCGTACCTTGGAGTCCAGAACGGCCTTGGTCGATGATGAATTTAGTGGGAAGAGAGGCGCTGGTGAGGTATGGAGCAAGGGACTTGGCGTAGTTGAGCTCGTCATATGAGGTTGAGAATTCGGTGTAGCTTGGACGGGTAGTCGCGATGTATGGATTGAAGTTCGACACATTGGTTGAGAATCCGCGAATTTTTACCTCCTTGGTGGAGTTCTGGTTAGCGAGATCCAGGACTTTCGCAAATTGCGCGGCGACTGTGGCTGGGTTAGTATTGAGGCACTGGGACTCAAGAGAGAGATCTATATCTGCCTACCCTTTGGGAGCGAATCTGGCCAGCCGAGCCACCCACCATTCGCCGCATCGACGTAGAGATGGACGTGGCTGGCCTGCAGTTTCGAGATTGCATACGCGAGCCCTTCCTCATAGATAGGAGCAGCGCTTGCACAGAATGGGACATTCATGTTGGTGATCGCATTTCCCATACTGTCAGGCTCCATGATGACAGCAAAATCCAGGTCGGGTGCGGCCATCAGCTTCTCGGCATACGGGTCCACGAAGGTCTTCTTGTAAAGCTCTAGTCCGTTCGCAGCCGAGCTGAACTCTCCTCCCGACTCTCCACCCGAGCAATCACGATCTGGCAAGTTGTACAATACCAACGAGACGATCTGTTTCTGCTTGGTCTGGTGCTGCACAGCGCGTGCATACTTGATAGTCATGTCGAGGTCCCCGAGGCCGGCAACGCTTGTCACCCAAACGAAGGTACCAATGCTCTGCGCTGTTCTTGTCCGCGCTGCGTTCAGCGTGTCATTTTGAGCGAGGAATGCTGAGATGGTTTCCTCGAGCTTATCCGCGTAGGCTGGGTTGACATAATATGACTTCCCAAGGAAAGGGTTCACCTCCTCGGTCGTGTCTGGGTCTGCAGCAGTGCCATAGTCAGGCTGCTGGCGAGCATGTATACGATGTGCAAAGGGATGTGAACCTGGATGGGCAGCTGTGCATAGGCTCGCGGCTCCAAGAACAGCCCCGAGAATCGAGGTGGAGAACATGCTGAGAAAATTCGAGAAAATTGAGTAAAGAGGGTGTGTGAAGAAAATTGAAACCGCAATGAGAGAGTGACGAGAAGTGGACCAAAGGTTTAAAGCAACAAAGGAAGGGTTGGAGGTGAGGTAGGAGAGAAGAGACTTATCAAGTCATGAGTTCAGGCCCAAATCTCTTACTAGCACCGAATAGCCTTTGAAGGCATATTTTTTGTTACACTTGTACTCTCCCCCCATGAATACAAGTCGAAAGTATAACTTAGCAAGAGATCTTACCAAGTGTTAGACCGATCAACTTATAAGGATTCATTCAGCCTTGAAAAGTGTCTTTAAGCCAGTATTTAGTCTGTGCAATGGAGTTGACAGGGCATTAAGCCATTCAGAAACCACCGCTCTACGATTTACTACGTCGCAGGCGTAAGTATTACCCCTCGAGGGTAGGGAAAACAGGGGGTTTAAAGTGGAAACTAAACTTTTAAGGCACCCTCGAGGGGTAATACTTAGGCCTGTACCGTGGTAGGTAGTATGAAGCTGTATTGGGTCCGAAAATTATTCATAAGGGGGGATAGTAATTGTGAGATGTAAATGAGATGTACGCCTAGCCTCTTGGCTACCTCTTTCCAAGTACGAGCTCTCGGCTCTCAGCTCTCAGCGCTCTACAACCAACCTCTTCCAAAATCTTAATTCGACGATCGGGTATGATGAGGATAGTGCAAATCCTTATGAGAAGGATACGCTTGCCGACCAGGAAATGAGGATACCTCCGAAATATCCATTTGATGAAAATCCAGCATAGTACAGTACTAGGCAATTGCTGTTGGCCATTTAAGCGAGAATATCAAAATCAACATTAAATATTTACTGCGTCGCAGGCGTAATTGTTGCACCTTGAGGGTAGGGTAACCAGGGGGTTTAAAGTGGAAATCTAGACTTTTGAGGCACCCTTAAGGGTGTAACAATTACGCCTGTGCCGTAGTAGCTATCACTTTTCGATTGCGCAATAATTATGAGAATGCGCACGGACCTTAACACTTAATATGCTACTTCCCCCCCCTATGAACATATGTCGGACCCAGTTTAAGCCCATAAATTGTAAAGCGGTGGTTTCTGAATGGCTCAAAGCCCTATCAATTCAATTGCACAAACTAAAGAGTGACCTAAAAATATTTTTTAAAGCTGGATTCTTGTAAGTTGAATGGTTTAAGCCCTGATAAGACCCCTCGCAAATTATACTTTCGACATGTTTTTATTAGAGGGGGTAGTAGCTTTTAGCCGCGATATAAGCTTTAATTTATTCGATATACTTTGATATAAATTATCAAACACCGATTAATTCAACGTATTTTACGTAACTTGCAAGCGAAATTTTATGTTTTGCTTCACGTATTTAAATTCGATTTATCGATTATAACACCGAAGAGTATTCAATAAAGCTGTTTGAAATGGCATTTTTGTAATTGTTATAAAAGGTAGGAAACGCGCATCGCGAAAAATCGCGGTTTTATAACTTTCGGCTAAAAGGGGTTGCGGGAAAGTCCAATAAGACCTTACTTATACTGTACTATTGAACCGCAATAACGTTCGAAACATTATCTGAATCTTAGCAGCAACCCCGAGGCCAGGATCGGATTCCGAACTTCTTCTCCTTCCGAATCCTTTTTTACGCCTTTCTTCTTATTCTTTACTTATTTCCTCTCCTGTTGGAACTGAGACCTCAGTCAGAACTGGTAGCCAATAGGGCTAAGCGAGAATAGCGGTCCGCCTGGTTGGCTACAGCCAGCTGAGTCAACTCAGTCAAATCAGTCAAGTGAGCCAAGTCACGTGGAGCTCCGTTTGCTACCTTCCGCTTGTAGCGGTAGCTATAAGTAGCTACCACCTTACATAGTTAGAAGGCATGCAAAAACCAACTGAATCTACTCGAACCAACGAATACGTATTCAACCTTACATCACACCTGTGATACCAACATCTCCGATTCTCCCGATTTCTCCAGCATACTTTGTTATTAATCTAACACCCTTTTTTTTTTTTTTTAAAAGAAAAAAAAAAGAAAAAGCCGCGTAAAGCCTGACCCTTTTCTCTTCAACATCTTCAATCTGAAAAGTGTTTTTGAAGTCAGTTTTTGAGTTTGTACGCTAGCCAAGCCCCTAATAGTAATCCGAAACCACGTATTCCACTTTTACTTCTTTTCTTTTTATCGATAATCAAAAGCTCGAAACGGAGTGATAGAATTCACGTGAATATAGCTTTCAGAAAGATCAATCAAGAAAAAAACGACGTATCGAGATGAAGAGAAATACGGACCAAAATCTCTTTTCAAAATCGATTAAATTTCACGACAAAACGTCGTTTCAGATTATCAGTTTTTACAAACTGTACTTTCCGATCTGGAGTTTTTTCTAAAAAATCAGCTTTTAAGCCAGTTTCTATAGACTAAAGTTGAATCGAACGACCCTTTAAATGAAATTTATCTAATCATATTCCTGACATTCACTTCTTACAACTCCCTTTCATACCTATTACGCGTCCAGCTGCGTGGTCTTAAAATTCTTTTACTCCGAACGTTAACTGCTAAGCTATTCGGCATCGGGCCTACTTCAATCCATCTTACTTCTGGGGCCATTCCAACGTGGTATATCACGTGATTACAACTAGCTCGGCGTCTTTAGCGCCGGAAGCGTCTGTAAATGGCAATCGCGCGACTTTCTCTTTAATCTTTACTCCAATCAAATTCATAATACAATCATTTGAATTAAGATTAAGCCCGCCTTCTACTTCTCATCGAATACCAGAAAGAAAATCTATCTTTACAAGGTTACACCATTCAACTTCAAAACCTGCAAGATCGAACTTCGATCTTGACGCCGGTGCAAGCTTAAACGTTTATCAATCTTGCAAATTGTACAAAATAGCTAACGGAAGCTGTCGTACGATCGATCTTTTCGCCTTCGAATATATAAACCAAAGATCTTTTCGTAATCTACGATCTGCGCTTTCTCTTTCTTTTCTCGATATTTGTAATTACTTTACTCGATTAGCTTACGGCAATCTGCTCTATACGTTATAATCGCGCCTCTTTCTTTGCTAGCTAAGTGTTTTAAACAATTATTACGAAAATACATATACTCGAATCGATACGATATCATAAAGAAAGATGAAATACGTAGCTAAGACGCTATAAAAAGGCTTTGATTCCGCGGACGTAATAAAAGAAATAATATTTTATCTCGCGATTTCGACGACGATAAAGCGAAATAAAAAGAATTGAAATGAAAAGAGCTTGTCGACAAAGTATTTTAAGGATTTTCGGATTTGTATAAGTATAAGCTAAAGCTTAACCGAGCAAATTTTTGCTCGACGTCACCTCATCGAATAAAAGGCTCGATACCCTTTGTCGGACTTTGTTGAAGGAAAGCTCCGCTGAGCTTTCTTGGAATCGAAAAGAAAAAGATATCGAAGTTTAGATTATAATCTAGATTTATTTTCTTTTTCGTATTATCTATCCCGCTCGCAAAAAAAAAAAAAAAAAAAAAGAATACCTACCCGTTTTGACACTCTTTTAAATTGAATTATTGCATTCTAGAGTACTATAAGTTAATATTAAGTCGATTTAAGAAAAGGTTATAACTAAGGGTTTGGCGCTTAGAAGATCGATTTGATAAACTATATACACACCCTCAGCTTTGCACTTCTCCCTACCTCTTGGGAGATCCTAGGACGAAGAGCGCATGCTACGCTTATAGTCCGCTAGACGTTAATAAATACAATAATAATAACAACGATTCAAGTTCAACACCCTTCTTTTTTCTTTACTTCTCCTCGAGCAAAAGGAGACATTTCCTTATTATGGCACCATTGGACAATAGGTATAGAAAGTAAATAAGGTGATTTCAGACCAAAGACAAAGCTTATACCATTCCTTCCCGAACCTCTTATATATTCCAGCTAATCGCATACCTATTATTATAGGTGTCAAACGCTGCTAAAGACGACATCTAACCAACCGCTTGTAGGTCAATCTCGGGTTGCCTGCCAATACCGGTACGACAGACATCATATATACACCGGAGGCTACTACCTATTCAAGTCCCTATCAACCTACCTGCTGCACCGTCTCAGCTTATCTAGTGTTGTGCGGAACAAGCATGGTTCCACCTAAGCTATATATGACATGTCATGTAACCTCGCCTAATAGCGCCCTTAGCATACTAGAGCTCCTAAGTATATGTATATAGATCTTGACGAGCTTCTTAAATAGAATATACTAAGCTTTATTCAATTTATAGAATCTCTTCTTGATCTTAGTGCTAGTAAGCATTATAATTAAAAGCTATATTCGCATTCACGAGCTATTCAGTTAGTCTTTGATAACTTCCGAATTAATCGAAAGCGGATTCTGTAAGTCACTTTAACGCTACCTCGTTATAACTTTTATTTTTGCAATTTATTCTTTTTAAATATATTCATTCCTTATAATTAATACTTATTATCTTTAAGAACTCTAACTAATTTTTAAAAGTTTTATTTATAAAATCAATTGCTATAATAATAGACGATAAAGTAAAAAAGGTTTTCTTAATTAATAAAACGAATTTTATAAATCGTAGCGACTTCTTAAGATAGATTACGAATTACAAATACTTTATTAAGCGCTTCGGCATAGAATAATACGCAGCTCTTCGTATTAGCGTAAAAGAACTTATTTTTTTTATCGAATAGATTAAATTAAAAACGAAGTTTATTATAAAGATAATAACGGAGCTTAATAACGAATAGTTTTAAAACTAAAACCGCTAACGAAAGGCTTAAAATAAATAGCACTTAAAAGCTTTTGCAAACGATTTTAATAGACCTTTACAACTAAAAGAAGCTGAGTTCGAAGACGTCCGAAAAGCGTATAACGATAATATAAAAGAATATAATATCGCTATAATCAATTAGAAGATCTTAAGTAATAAAAGCAATCAAATTATAAATTAAATTAAATAAACGATTAAAAGCTTTATTTT